CAACTACAGGATCATGCAAGGCAATATGACAATGATGAAGCGTGTCATAAATGAAACGGTGGAAAGTTGCATGGCAATATATCTCGGAATGGCTATGGAAATGCCATAATAGGTAGTAGTGGCTGTTTTGAGGAATATATAAGGAGGTTTATATGTGATAGAGTGTATCATATCACGGGGTTTGGATGCATCGGCGAAGTTCGCACCAACTCTCAAGGTGAGAAAGGGCAATGCACGGTACCGAAGAGGCTAGCAATGATGGAAAGGTGAGAGTGTGTATGATCCATGGACTCAACATTAGTCATAAAGAACTCACATACTTATTGGAAAAATCTAAAAGTCATCAAAAACCAAGCATTATGCGCATGCTCCTAGGGGAAAGATTGGTAGGAAAAGACCATCGCTCGTCCCCGGCCGCCACTCATAAGGAAGACAATCAAAGAACACCTCATGTTTCAAATTTGTTACACAACGGTTACCATACATACATGCTACGGGACTTGCAATCTTCAACACAAGTATTTCTCAAATTCACAACTAATCAACTAGCACAACTCTAATATCACCATCTTTATATCTCAAAACAATTATCAAGTATCAAACTTCTCATAGTATTCAATGCACCTTTTTATGAAAGTTTTTATTATACCAATCTTGGATGCCTATCATATTAGGACCAATTTTATAGACGAAGCAAATTACCATGCTGTTCTAAAGGACTCTCAAAATAATGTAAGTGAAGCATGAGAGATCAATAATTTCTATAAAATAAAACCACCACCGTGCTCTAAAAGATATAAGTGAAGCACTAGGGCAAAATTATCTAGCTCAAAAGATATAAGTGAAGCACATAGAGTATTCTAATAAATTCCGATTCATGTGTGTCTCTCCCAAAAGGTGTGTACAGAAAGAATGATTGTGGTAAACTAAAAAGCAAAGACTCAAATCATACAAGACGCTCCAAGCAAAACACATATCATGTGGTGAATAAAAATATAGCCTCAAGTAAAGTTACCGATGGACGAAGATGAAAGAGGGGATGCCTTCTGGGGCATCCCCAAGCTTAGGATTTTGGTTGTCCTTTAGTTTTACCTTGGGGTGCCTTGGGCATCCCCAAGCTTAGGCTGTTGTCACTCCTTATTCCATAATCCATCAAATCTTTACCCAAAACTTGAAAACTTCACAACACAAAACTCAACAGAAAATCTCATGAGCTCCGTTAATATAAGAAAACAAACCACCACTTAAGGTACTGTAATGAACTCATTATTTATTTATATTGGTGTTAAACCTACTGTATTCCAACTTCTCTATGGTTCATACCCTCCGATACTAGCCATAGATTCATCAAAATAAGCAAACAACACACGCAAAACAGAATCTGTCAAAAACAGAACAGTCTATAGTAATCTGTAGGTTTAGAATATTTCTGTAACCCTGAAAATTCTTAAATAAATTTGTGGACGTGAGTAATTTGTGTATTAATCATCTGCAAAAAGAATCAACCTAATCACACTCTCCAGTAAAAAATGGCAGCAAATCTCGTGAGCGCTAAAGTTTCTGTTTTTTACAGCAAGATCGCAAAAACTTCCCCCAAGTCTTCCCAAAGGTTATACTTGGCACAAACACTAATTAAAAGAATAAAACCACATCTAAACAGAGGCTAGATGAATTATTTATTACTAAACAGTACCAAAAAGCAAGAAACAAAAATAAAATTGGGTTGCCTCCCAACAAGCGCTATCGTTTAACGCCCCTAGCTAGGCATTGATAATTTTAATTATGCTCACATGAAAGACAAGAATTGAAGCAAAAAAGAGGGCATCATAAAACACGTGACAAACACATCTAAGTCTAACATACTTCCTATGTATAGGCATCTTATAGGCAAACAAATTATCATAGCAAGCAAAAACTAGCATATGCAGGGAAGCAGAAAGAAACAATAGCAATCTCAACATAACAAGAGGTAATTTAGTAACATGAAAATTTCTACAATAATATTTTCCTCTCTCATAATAATTACATGTGGGATCATAAGAAAATTCAACAAAATAGCTATCACATAAAATATTTTCAACACGATCCACATGCATGCAAAGTTGACACTCTTCCAAAATAGTGGGATTAACATCAACTAAAGTCATGACCTCTCTAAACCCACTTTTATCAAAAATTTCATAAGATTGAACATTCTCCAAATATGTGGGATCTAAAGTTGACACTCTTCCAAACCCACTTTCAATAATATTGCAAACACTATTATCAATCTCATATTCATCATGGGGCTTAAATAAATTTTCAAGATCAAAAGAAGAATCACCCCAATCATGATCATTGCAACACGTAGTAGGCATAGCAAAACTAGCATCCCCAAGCTTAGGGTTTGGCATATTATTAGCAAAATTGACATCAATAGAATTTATAGTAAAATCATTGCAATCTTGCTTTTGATTCAAGGAAATATCAAGTATGGGTGCAATAGTAATAAGCTCGTGTGTAACATAAGGAACTATAGCAAATTCATCTCCATAAATATTGGCATCATGGCTATAAAAATAGCAAACATCATGTTCATCAAGGGATATCTCAATCAAATCATTGGAATCATAATTATCTATAGATTCGTGCATATCATTATTTTCTTCCAAACAACGGTCATTCTCTCAATAAATTCCTTAACATAGGCATTGTGAGCATAGTTTTCATAGAAATATTTAAGTATGTCAAGATTTTCAGATTCGTAGAGAGTAATATAATACTTTTCAATCAAAGAAGCAACTTCATAAGCACCCTTAAAAGCAACAAATTCCTCAATTTGTTCGATATCGTAGTAACTATAAACAACCTTTGCATAAGAAGATAAGATTTCATTTTCATTAAACTCACATAGGTAGGGAAGGTGTTTTTTAGGGTTCTTAGAGCAACAAGCAAAATCACAAATTTCACAAAGATTCCAAACATAACACAGCAATCTGTTTATTTGATCCCATAAGAGTTTCCTCTTTTCAGACAAACGGTGACGCAGAAAATGAGCATGCTCATCTAAAGATTTCCCATCATTTAGGCTAATTGGGATTTCATCACGAGCGCATAAGGATCGAAGATGATCCAAGTAGAACACTTTAAGTGGATCCATATCAATAGATTTTTAGCAAGCAAAGATGCAAGAAAATAGAAGGCACATGGAAACACAAACAAAGATACGTAGGGGAAGAAGGCGAATAAAAGGCAAAGGTTTTCAAAAAATCGTTTTAGAAGTGGGGGAGAGGAAAATGAGAGGCAAATGGAAAATAATGTAATGCGAGGGATAAGAGTTTGTGATGGGTACTTGGTATGTCTTGACTTGACTTGACCTGGCATAGATCTCCCCGGCAACGGTGCCAGAAATCCTTCTTGCTACCTCTTCAGCACTGCGTTGGTTTTCCCTTGAAGAGGAAAGGATGATGCAGCAAAGTAGCGTAAGTATTTCCCTCAGTTTTTGAGAACCGATGTATCAATCCAGTAGGAGACTACACGCAAGTAACCTTGCACCTACACAAACAAATAAGAACCTCGCAACCAACGCGATAAAGGGGTTGTCAATCCCTTCATGGTCACTTACGAGAGTGAGATCTGATAGAGATAATAAGATTAATACTTTTGGTATTTTTATTATATAGATTGGAAAATAAAGATTGCAAAACAAAATAGAGTGGAAACTTATACGATGGAAAATAGACCCGGGGGCCATAGGTTTCACTAGTGGCTTCTCTCAAGGTAGCATAAGTATTACGGTGGGTGAACAAATTACTGTCGAGCAATTGGTATAAAAGTGCATACTTATGATAATATCTAGGCATGATCATGTATATAGGCATCACTTCTGCGACAATTAGACCGAAAAAATTCTGCATCTACTACTATTACTCCACACATCGACCGCTATCCAGCATGCATCTAGAGTATTACGTTCATAAGAATAGAGTAATGCATTAAGCAAGATGACATGATGTAGAGAGATAAACTCAAGCAATATGATATAAACCCCATCTTTTTATCCTCGATGGCAACAATATAATACGTGCCTTGCTGACCCTGCTGTCACCGGGAAAGGACACCGCAAGATTGAACCCAAAGCTAAGCACTTCTCCCATTGCAAGAAAGATCAATCTAGTCGGCCAAACCAAACTGATAATTCGAAGAGACTTGCAAAGATAACAAATCATACATAAAAGATTTCAGAGAAGAATCAAATATTGTTCATAGATAATCTTGATCATAAACCCACAATTCATCGGATCTCGACAAACACACCGCAAAAAGAATTACATCGAATAGATCTCCAAGAAGATCGAGGAGAACTTTGTATTGAGATCCAAAGAGAGAGAAGAAGTCATCTAGCTAATAACTATGGAACCGAAGGTCTGTGGTAAACTACTCACACATCATCGAAGAGGCTATGGTATTGATGTAGAAGCCCTTCGTGATTGATTCCCCCTCCGACGGAGCTCCGGAAAAGGCCCCAAGATGGGATCTCTTGGGTACAAAAGGTTGCGGCGGTGAAAATAGGGTTTCGTGGTGCTCCTGGATGTTTTGGGGGTATATGGATATATATAGGAGGAACAAGTAGGTCGCTGAAGCTGCGAGGGGCCCACGAGTGTGGGGGTGCGCCTAGGGTGGCAGGCGCGCCTCCCTGCCTCGTGGCCTCCTCGCTCCTTTCTTGACGTCTAATCCAAGTCCCCTGGATCACGTTTGTTTCAAAAATAGCTCTCCCGAAGGTTTTATTCGGTTTTGGATTCAGTTTGATATTCCTTTTTCTGCGGAACACTGAAATAGGTAAAAAAACAGAAATTTGCACTGGGCCTTGGGTTAGTAGGTTAGTCCCAAAAATAATATAAAAGTGTATAATAAAGCCCATTAGACATTCAAAACAGATAATATAATAGCATGGAACAATCAAAAATTATAGATACGTTGGAGACGTATCAATATGTAGTGAAGCATGGTGGGCTGGGCCTTCATCTGTCGTTGGGCCGCACAATGGAAAGGGTCCCTAACATAGACAGACCAAAGTCTGAGATCTTGGGGTTCATATCCACGTTGAGTAAGACGTTGCTTGGCTTCAGGTCACGGTGTATGACTTTAAGCCGAGAGTCCTCATGGAGATACAATAGACCTCGATCAATCCCGGAGATGATGCCTTTTCTTTTCGTCCAGTCCAGTTGGTTTGCCTTCTCAGGATCTGCTACACACATGCGCCACTGGAACTAGAAACAACAGAAGAATATACCCATAGTAGTGTGCCAAAGTTTTAATAAGATGAGCTGGGAGAATTACCGATAAGGGTCGTGTCTAGGCTTCCATTAGGCATATATTCGTACACCAGCAGTTTCTCTTGCAAGCAAACACAGAGAAGCTGCACCAGATTCTTGTGCTTAAGTTTGTTGGTTAACACTAGATCATTTTTCAGCTCATTGAACCCTTGAGCAGAGTTTGCTGACAGCCTTTCGACGACTATTTCCTTTTCGTCCTGCAATTCACCCTGTGCAGAAGCAAGTTTGCTCTTGGATTAAATTACATAATTCACCAAATTATTACTACTATCTCTATTTTTAAATGTAAGACGTTTAGGCAGTTCAAATTGAACTGTCAAAGCATCTTATGTTTAGCCATTTAGGAATAGAGGGTGTAGTATGGATTTGTATTCTCATGTAATATTCATAACAACATATAATACATACCTTAAAAACCTCTCTGTATCCTCCCTCCCCCAGTTTATTGTTTACAGAAAAATTGGATGTTGCAGTTCTCAACACTTGCAAACTAATATAGTTCATGCCCTCCCCTGCATTGTCTGCAATAAGAAACACGTGATTCGAGTAAGCATCGCCTCCTCTTGTTCCCCTGGATCCCTGTGCTCTGTAGGAAATATAATATACCTTGTTCTTCCTTGTTCACCTCCTTGATCCCTCTCCTATGTCGGCAAACACAAGCAAGCACGAACACTAGCACAAATAGTGTTCCAAGAGAAATGGCGACAACAAGGATGACATGTTGTAATCTCCTCCTCCTCCCTGCATGTTTTGAAATGATTTATCACCATCGATATCGCTGTATCGGTCATCACACAAGCAAATTAATCAATCAATAACATCTCAAAACTGTGATGCACCAGGTGCCGTCATGATGGCAAGAAATGGCAGCATGGGCATCCACGCAAGGTTGCGCCCCATGAATCATTTGTTGTGCAATTGAAAGATTGTTTGACGTTTAACCAGGCATGCTAGATATAAAGTTTTTGTTGGCTACGTGCATGTGTGACCCCTCAGATAGGTTCACACAGTACTTGGGGCAACCCTCCGCTAGGCCACAACCAAAAAACCATCTCCTATTTCTCTAAGGCCTGGCCTGCTAGGCGCGCGGAAGGTGTGCGACAAGGTATGATGAAATGATGCAACTGTTTAATTGTTGTCGATTATTTCTGTCAATTATTAATGCGTTAGGAAAACACTGTCAAAATTTCTACAAACTCTGGTAGATTGCAACTCAATTTTAATCAAAATTTCAAACTGTCCAGAAAACCTAAAAACATTGCACAAAACAAGCATATCCATGTGAGTATACTTATTAAAGTTTCAACCTATCCATGTTGAAAGGTATAGTGGAAACAGTACCCTGGGTTTTCAAAATCCTTTTGGTGCATCATGATGTTGCTCTTCAAAACGAAGTTTATGAACTGAAATGGATTTGCTGCATTATTCGACAGGTTCAGCAATACCGAGTTCCATTCTGATGGTTGCGATTTACTCAGTATAATTCCAAGTTACCAACACATCTAACATATATGTATGTACCGTTCACAAATTGGCACGTTTAGTAGGATAACAAGTTACGTACATCCTTCGGTTTCACTTTTTGGGTCCTTGCAAAGGACCCCCTAGCCACTGCCTGCGCGTGATGGAGCAGATTTTTCATAAACAGTTTTGCTAAGTCTTAGTCGACTAAGACTTCGTATGCTATATCCATAAGATTTACATCGAGATCCATGCAATTTTTCTTTTCAATTTATTTTTTCCTCTCTTACATGTTATGTCAGTTGACTGAGACTTGGTTAAATCTCAGTCGACTGAGACCTAGCCACACCCTTTCATAAAAGTAACAAGAGCACCTGCATGGACTGCGCTTCGGTGCGTGAAGGCACCTGCCTTTGCCTATGACATGTGGGCCCAACAAGTGGCTAGCCCACATGTCAGGGACCCAAAGACAGATGTTTTTACGGCATTAAAGTTGTGTCGCACCAGCATGGGCATGATCCCTATCTCCGGTACACTAGCCCATGTAACTTTTAATTTAACCGTTGGAACTCGGATCCGTTTTCATCATTAGGCCATGTAACTTTTAGTTTGACCGTCAAAATTCAGATCCGTTTTTATCATTAGATTATTTGTGGAGAGTTCTTCGAAACTAGATCCCACATGAGTATGTTTTGACTTTTTTCTCAAGAACAACTTTTGGTGCTATGGAGGCAATTTATTTTTCAAGGAAAAGCCTTCATGCCGCACTTTATTTCATCACAAATAAGGAGTCCTCTATTACATCCGAAACAATAAAACTAGGAGGAATATTATCCCAAAAAACAGTAGAGTTGAAGTAAAAGCATGTCTAGCCAACTTGTCGCGCTGTCGACGACAAGGCGGAGTGCGGCGCACCGATGGTCCTGTAGAGGGGAGGGACAATGCCCGCGAGCCTATGAGCTAGGGCACGTCTCTCTCTCTCTCTCTCTCTCTCTCTCTCTCTCTCTCACGTCTCTCTCTCTCTCTCTCTCTCTCTCCGCGTTTGTGTGGGGAAAGAATGAAGGAGTCGACAAATCAGACGGTCACATGGTGCAGGATCAACAATGGAGAAGGTGACTGATCTGGGCACCCCATCGATGGCTCTCTCTTTTTTGAAAATGCTGCTCTTTTCGTTTATGATGCCACTCCGTATACTCGCCGTTGTTTCCTAATTACGGATGAACACGAGGAATTGCAGAACGGGCAGGAAGCTGAAAACAGCTAGATGTTCAAATCTGACCGGGTTTAAATCGGAAAAGGTACTGCTGTGTCCGAATCGGAAAAAGCCACGCGCAATAATAAGTACAGGAGCCCTCCAAGTAGTACGTACAAAGCAGAAGCCCCACACGAATCGTCAAATCCTAACAGCTCAAACAAAACAAAACAACTCACGAATCGCCTCGCCGCGCCGCCTTCCCCTCCTCCCGAATCGCCTCGTCCCCGTTCTCCTTCCCCGCTGCGCCAGTCGAACAATGTCGGCATCCCGGATCCCACCACGGACGATGTCGGCGTCGGCCTGCGCCCGGAGACCGCGCAGGGCATGCACCTGTTCAAGATCGATGGCTACAGCCTGTGCAGGGGCCTCGGCGTCGGCAAGTCCATCCGGTCCACCACCTTCCGCGTCGGCGGCCACGACTGGTGCGTCTACTTCTACCCCGACGGCGTCAACGAGGACAGCAAGGACTACGTCTCAGTCTTCCTCGAGCTCAAGACCCAGAACGCAGAGGCGAGGGCGCTCCACCATATGAGGGTGGTCGACCAAGCCTGGCCGCCGCCGCCTTTCACGTGGCCGATCCCCAGCCAGTACGAGCCGCTGGTGTTTAACTCTACTGATAACTTGTTAGACTGTATTTACATATAGCTTCTGTATATGTCTTGTATATTGTATCGTACACCTTGGTGTACCCCTTATATATATGAGATAGCCACACCCTTAACGGGTGTTGTGCAGTTTCCCAAAACCCTAAGTCTAACAAGGTATCAACCCTAACCGGTCCTATGTCTTCCGCTGTTGCTGCCGCCGCCGCCGCCGCCTCCGCCACCGCGATCGCGCCCAACTCCATCGCCGCCGTCGCGCCGGCTTCTGTCACGGCGCCTGCGTCGCCGTTCCTCTCCTCGCGTCCCCTGGTTTCGGTCTACACCGGCCAATCTTCGATGGTAGGCGCCTCCTCGGATCAGCCACCGCCGTCGTCACCGGCCGCGCCTCCGCCGGCCCCGGGGGATCCTTCGTACACCGGTCCGTGGATGGGATCGGCCACCTACGGCCCGGGCTGCTCCACTCCCGCCCGCAGGCCCCTACGGGGCGGCGCCCGTCCCCGCTGGATCGGCAGCCTACGGCCCGTACGGGGCTGCTCCACTCCCGCCCGCAGGCCCCTACGGGGCGGCGCCCGTCCCTGCCGGATCGGTGGCCTATGGCCCCTACGGGGCCGTTACTTCATCAACGGGCCACTACGGGGCGCCGCCCTACGCGCCCGCCGTGGCTGCGTCTCCTGCCGCTGTTGCAGCGGCGCCCTACGCGCCCTACGCGCCTTCACCTGTAGCCGCGAACGCTGGGTCGGACAGGGCCCCGCCGCCGCCATTGCCGTATGGCGGCTACTACCCTCCGGCCATGGCTGCATCTGGTGGATCATCTCACATGACCTACTACACAGCGCCTCCTCCTGCTGATCATGCCGTGGCCAGCACGCCGTTCTACTTCGCGCATCTGATCCCAGTGAAGCTGACGACGGACAATTATCTGTCATGGCGTGCACAGGTGCTGCCACTTCTCCGCAGTCGCTATCTGGAGGGCTACGTCGACGGTTCCTTGCCGTGTCCTCCACCACATCACCCGGCATACCATGCGTGGGTGGCTCAGGATCAGGCCATACTTTCGGCGATCCAGTCGTCACTTACCGAGGCGGTGTCCTCCTTGGTTCTCTTCACTGCCACGTCCCAGGAGGCGTGGTCTGCCCTTCACACTAGCTTTGCATCTCAGCAGCAGGCTCGTGCTCACACTCTTCGTACAGAACTGGGAGAGACAAAGCTTCTTGACCTCAGCATTACCGACTACTTCGGCAAGATGACGCGTCTCGCAGACACTCTGGCTTCCATTGGTCAACCGCTTCGCAAAGAGGACTTCACCACCTTCGTCATGAACGGTCTGGATGACGACTATGATAACCTTGCTGAGAACATCAATGGCCGTGATACTCCACTTGAACCCCGTGAGCTCTACGCCCGCCTCCTTGCCACGGAACAGCGCATCAAGTCCCGCCGTACCAATCCGAGTTTCATGGCTGCCAACGCTGCCACTCGTGGAAAAGGGAAGCCCTTCAAGTCAACTGCAGCGGGCAAAACAACACCATTGACTTTGCAGGCTCCGCGGTCGCCTGCCGCAGCCCCTTTCCCCACGACTGGGGGTGGTCGTTCGTGTGCCTGCTGCCCTTCTTGTGGCGTTCAGCTCCCTTGTCAACTGTGCAACATTCCAGGTCATGTTGCTTCCCGCTGTCATCGCCGCTTCAAGCAGGACTTCCTCGGCGTCGGCAACAATGGCAAAGGCAACGAGAAACAAGCTGCTTTGGCCACTCAGGAGCCTGCTCGTCAAGCAGGCCACACTACATCATATCCCATTGACCCAACATGGTATATGGACACGGGCGCTACGAATCATTTGACGGGCTAGATGGGCAAACTCTCAGTTCAGGAGCCATACCGTGGTAATGATCAGGTTCACACCGCCAGTGGAGCAGGTATGCACATATCACATGTTGGTCAGGCCTCTCTTTTAACTCATAAACAGAAATCTCTCCATCTTCGTAATGTCCTTAGAGTTCCTTCTGCTACTCGTAGCCTATTGTCTGTTCCTCAGCTTACTCGTGATAACAATGTTTTCACTGAGTTTCATCCTTTTTATTTTTTTATCAAGGATCAGGCCACGAGGGACGTTCTGCTTAGAGGTCGCCTGCGCGATGGATTATATGCACTTGATCTGCCTTCTGCCCCTCGAGCACTCACTGGTGTCC